CTTATAATATATTTTGTGAGTTTGTTGACATTGTTTCCTTTTACTATTTGCTACACACACCTGACACCAGAGGCCTGTACTACGAAGCTGGTTCAACCTAACCTGGATATGTTTGAGTTAGCCGGTTGGCCTAATCCAAAACATACGAGCTCTCGCTAAACGGTACTACGATGCGGGTTATCAAGTGGATCGCTCAAGCCAGCCGTGTCCTATCTAGTTAGGTGCGTGTTCACATGAAAGGGGTGGTATTTGGAGCATTCGACCAATCACAAACATGGAGAAGCATACTGACAGCGCAGCGTCATACTTCCAGAATGAAAAGTCAACTATAATATTAGACATATGAAGAAGTTAAACTTTAAACATCCATGACTTAAACACTGTGTCCATGATAAAAGCCACATAGTTGCACCTGCAAGGTGAATACAGCTGGTAAAAGAAAAAGTGTTTGAATTCGTACATTAACAGGTTTATGATATCACTGCCCCGTCCAAGACACGAGTGGATCTGACTTTAATTAGGCTACATTTGTCTCGAGTGTTTCGTCAACTTAATGTGTTGCTTAAAATAATACTTCTGCATACAGTATGTGACACTGTAAGTCTTGCACGGCCAGATACGGCTCAGCTGACTCAGATAAGGAAATATATACATTATGATGTGATATGAATGATAATGGGACACATCAACGTCTGCACTCACAGTGACGCGGACTGTACCTAGCCTAATGTTACTCTGATCCGGTTACTTATGTTGCGCAGATATTTAAGTAAGCTTTCTTAACGCTAACGTTATAATAGTCAGATTGCTCTGAAGATTCTATTAATGTTCACGTTCACACAGTCGGTGATTTTTGCCGGCCGTCTTTCCTGCAACGGCAGCTTTTCTGTATTTCCTTTCTCCTGTAATATGACTTCATCGCTTTAAACCTTTAAACTCTGCACACTGAGCTCTGATTGGTCAGCAGGCAGTGCTTTCACTGAGTTGAGCTCTTAGCCTGCAACCTAACCTGCTCCGGGGCAGATTAGCCGCGCAGCATAAGTTACCATGGAGATCTAGCCTGCTAAAAAGAGAACCAGCTTCGTAGGACCGGAAACCCAGAGTTTTCCCTGAAGTTAGCCGGCTAACCGAAAATCCTGCTTCGTAGTATACCCCCCAAGTCTTTAGAAACCTGGATTCAACAGAGCCCTTTCCCTCGTGTTCATCAAAGTTCAACAAGAGCCAAATTATTTACTGTTTATAAATGACTTTATGTGTGTTAAGTTACTACACTAAGAAAACTTAGTGGCTTAAAAAACTCAAATGAAAATTGATGGAAGTAAAAAAAAAAAAGTACATTTTGTTACGATCTGTCTGTGTTGTGTTTTTGTCATGTCTGGTTCTGTCTTTGGTTTCCTGTCTGTGTTTCCCCTCCCATCTTGTCTGTTTCTGCTGATTGTGTGCACCTGGTGCCCGGTGTTGTCTCCTCCCCTCTCACCTGTGTCTTGTTCAGTTGATTAGTTTGTGTGCATTTAGGCTCTGGTTTTTCTGTTGGTCTTTGTGGGATTATTGATGTTGTTAGAAGGTTTTTGTGCAGAGGGATTTTTTTGTTTTGCCATGTCTGATTTTACTTGGTTGCTCGTTCCGCAATAAAACTATTTGAATTTGGATATTCTGCATTTGGGTCCTGTGTACCTTGCCCTCCAGCCGTGACACATTTATGTACTTGCGGTAACACTGAAACATGTTATAATCTCGTCACAGCACTGAACTTTAAACAGATGTGGGATGTTGGTCACAGATCCAATAACTAAAAGGCCATATGAAATATTGATTGGTTATATCAACGGCAATTGATACACACAGGAATAAGGTAAAGGACACAGATGAGTGAAATGAGGTAAATAAAAGTAACCCTGTTATTAAATACAATAATCTTCCATCTTTACAATGTATGTGTATATATAGGAAATTAGGATTTGTGCCAACATTTCGTTCTGATTAAAGGTTCTAGCTTCATTTAATATAATTGAAAGTGCTTTACAGTGAGAATGGACTGCTGTAAGAGCATTGCAGAGCCAGAAACGTGTACATTTCTGTCACACCTCCAGGGAAAGAAAGGGTCTATAAAAAATACGTAATTTGTTCACTCAATGTCCAAAAGCGCCATGAAATTGCCTTCTTGACATCTAAAAAACTGTGCAAAGATTTATAAGACCAACACTTTCATTGAGCCCATTAAGAAATGTAATAACACCATCTACTTTAAAGGTGAGACAGAATGAGAACAACATGCATGAGGCAGCACACGGGTCAGTTGGCCTGCAGACGAATATTTCTCACTGAGCTCTAGTGTACGTCTCGGACTGCAGCCGGCCCAAAGACATGAAGACAAGCGTCAGATCAGATGAAAGTAATCTCACTTCAAGTTATTAATCATCACTTGCATCATATCTACCTGTGCGGCATTTCAATCAGCACAGGGATTTGAGAGGCAATTCGAACGCAAGCGCACAGACAGATTCAAAAAAAGAAAAAGAAACTTCCCCTGCAACATACAACCCCTGAGTGCCTGAACCAAAACCACTTGGAGCACATTTTCTCATTACCCAGTCGTTCCTGTCCTCTCCGTCTGGCAGGAAATACAATGGATGGCCTCTAGAGCTATGCGTGTGTGTGTGTTTACTTATTTGTGTTGCGAGAGTTTTCGGTTCATGCATGTATTTATATACAGTATGCGTGTTTCCGTGTGTGTGCCCCATAAGGTCAAGCAGCCCCTAAACAAATTTGAGAGCGTGACTCACTGGGGCCTCCCATCTCTCCTGTCCATCAGCGCTGACAGGATGGCACGCTTACCCAGCATGCATGCAGCCCACTGTGGCCCCCAGCGATACAGGACCACGCAGAGACATATGGCCTTATTATTGCTTTTGTCTCTGGGGGTGAGGGGATGGAATAGGTGGAATTGTGTGTGTGTGTTTCAGGTCTCTAGGGTTACCACCAAAACCCACCAATCCAGAGTCTCTACTTTTGCTCAGTCAAATGGAGAAAAATTGGATGGTTTGTTGGAACGAACACGAACACACACACACGCACACATACGCACACATGCTCACGCACTCACACACACACCGTCCCAGGTGTGTGCCTGACGGATGATTGAGAGCTAACCCTGTGTCTGATAGCGCCCTTTGGGGGCTGAAATATTCATGGCTGTGGTGTTATTGTTTTCTCAGGTGTGTTGGTGGCGGATTGCTCCACAGCACGGATAAGTGCCCCTGATATTAAAAACAGAAACATGGGTAAATGAGACCCAAATCTACAGTAATACATCAACCTCAACCTGGAGATGAATGCAGCAGTGCCAGGGGAGGTTGTATAATATTTCCCTAGTTCTTTATATTCCTCAAATTCAAACTGACAGTGAGACAAACAAACAAAAGCAGAGAAAATGTTAAGTATAAGGAAAACAGAGGGATGACAGGCAGGCAGGCACGTAGTTGTGTAAGGCTGAACAACATCTAATAAGGAACGACATCAGTAACTCTAAGCCTTTATTAGATTAAACCCTGAAGAGCAGTAAAATGTCATGCTATAACAACATGTGTGTTTGCATGTGTGCTTCTGTGGGCTCGCTATAACTCCACTCTTGTTCTTTGGCTCTTTTTTGATTAATCCAGATGTCCCCGAGCATTCAATTAACTGTGGAATTGCTGATCAATGTGCACTGTAAAAGCCTGCCCTATGAAGTTAAATGGGGATTAATTATTGAATACCAATGCTCCTGCTTGTTCTGTAATGTGCCAAAAAGCGAAAACAAGGAAGTTCAGAGGAAGAGGAAAAGATGGCTGTGGGTTAAGCTAAAGATAATACAAAGTGTTGTAATAAGTCTGAGGCCTAATGTCCCTGTTCATCTCATGTTTTTATTGGCTAATTAAACAGATAGTGGTTCCCCTTAGGGAACGTGTTGTCTTTTCTGTGTGTATCTCCAGTCTATGTTGTACTGCCCGTCTGCTGGATTTATCGTCATATTTTCTACTGTGTTTCAGCCACAGAAAACCAAACCACACATTTTCTTCCTGTGATTTTACCAGCAGAATCCCTTGGCTCTGACTCATATAAATACATTCAGCCATTCTTGTTGTTTTCATTATTGTAGCAAAAATATATTATAAAGCAGATAACCATTAGGTTAACATGGTGTATTGCTTTTTCATTAGCCATGTTTTCCCAGCAAAGTAAGAATGTCTTTCCTTTACCAGGTAAACACTTAAAGTAGTATTTAATCAGAAGCACAGCTCGTGTATTTGAAGTGACAACCCCAACAGACAAAAGATATGTGCTGAAAGTGTGAATTAAAACAAACGTGTTCCAGTATTTCACAGTCATTCTCAAACAATGGGTCAATGTATTAAACAAAGCAGCTTCTCTGGGTTTGACAACTGTCACTAGCAGAGTTTATCAACTGGATGAAGCTAGTGTAAGCTAATACTTATTTATCATAAGTAGCATGTAACCTTACTAAATAAAGTAAGTGAAAAAAATTGTTTTTACTTAAGTCTAAAACTTACCTGAATCTATATAATACAATTAAATTGCTTGATTTTAGTTAAGCTTTTTCTTCTCAAGAAAACACAAAACGAAAGTGGGATCACAATTGAGAGTGGAAGGTCTAAGATATTGGTCATACAATGCACTTCCAAAGTATGGTCAGCAAGTGTTGAAACACTCTGGATTTCACTCATTGCCAGGAAAAAGCAGAGGTAGAGTCTCTGCTCCTTTTCCTGTTGCAAATTCCAAAACAAGAATGCAACGCTTCAGCATGTAGAGAAATCTAAAGATGTGACAGCCCTGTCATGGCTGGTAACAGTTGGTGATATATGATTGGACAGAAGCTATTCAGGTGTGTGATTTTACTTACACATGTTCAGTGTTCATCACTAATATTTGTATCTTTCTACCCCCGCCCCTCCCCCCTCCTAATTCCCTCCGACCGCCCCCTCCCCGCTGCATTAACTCACTTCAGTATTTCCTTGGAGTGGCCAGTGTTGGAGCCCTTTTTGTCCGGAGTCCCGAGGCAGCTGGACTTCTGCAGGGTGTGCGGCCCCCGGTCCAGCATCATGGTGGAGGTCGCCGTTGCGATGACAGCCACTGCATCACGTACCCTGGCCTCGATGTTGTAGTCCCATTCGTCATATGACACAGAGATAAGCCCTGGGATAGAGAGAGAGAGGGATGTAGAGAGAGGTGAGAGAAAAAGGATGAATGGAAAGTGGGAAAAGAAAGAAATATGGAGAAAGATGAAAAGGAGAGGGGGGAGAGAAGAGAGTGAGGTTACAAAAAGGCAGACAGAGTGCGATAAAAAAATGCTGGAGGGGGAAAATAAATGAAAGCCTTTTATAAGAGGCTGAAAAGTGGCAAAACACTGGGACCAAATCATGAGGGCAGTCATACCTAAGATATCTTAATTTTATACAAGCCACAGTCAAAGTGTTACTTACAGTAGGTCTTACAGGTTGAAATGGCATGAAAACAAGCTGCTGAATGTGAGCGTCAGTGGAGACCACCAACATCCCTCAGCTCATTTTGTTATGCTTGGCTTTCCAAGCATGAGGAACTGCTGGCTATCACATGTCAGCATCCGTTTCTTACACCCATGAACAACTGCACGCTCAGGTCAGTTTGTGTGGCTGGTTTGGATTATGTGTTCACATTTGAAACATTAAACAGAACATCTTTTGGAAAAAAGGCAAAGCTGCATGTTCAGACAGCCTTGGTGTTGTTACTGGTTTCACACACAAGTTAAAATGTGGAAATACAGGAGTCAAAGTAAACGCTTCAGACATGCTTGGTGAAGATGAAGGTGTGAGGGAAAGCTACAGTAAAATGACAAAGGGGTTCAGAGATATTTTCTGAATAGTACCATTAAGACGCTCATAATGTCTCTGGTAAGGCCGGCTCACAGCTGATGGCCACACTATAAAAATAAAGCTTTTCCGTCATTATTATCTCATGTCTTTGTAAGAAATTGCACGATAAAACGATATAAAATGAACAGATATGACCCCCTAAAAGTCATTCACCTGAGGTTAACAGAAATCGGTATGCACCTTATCTCTGACTTGCCCAGTGTAGTGCACATAGACAATGAGGACATTTGCATATATGCAAACCAGCCCATCTGTCACTTGTGCCCACATTTCAATATGAAGCTTTTGGAAAACTTAATATTGTAATACAGATTGCAGTGTTTAGCTCTACAGCAAGGAAGCAGAGGATAAACAGGAAGCATTTCAACCACTCCAAAATGTAAGAGTGCTTTACATCCTGTGCCCTGGGTAGGATGTTCACAGTTTAAAAAGGATGCTTAATGGCACAGAGCATCAAGAGGGCACCAGAGCTGCAGTTTGATTACATATATTCTGTATGACTTTCAGGGCATGTTTTAGGACAAACAAACCCTGGAAAAATCCCTCTGAGGATGTTCATCTTATCCAGTCAAGTCAAGTGGTGTTTTAAAAACTGCTAATAACACCATTGATTGAGGAGAGAGAAAGAGAGAGGGAGAAAAAGAGAGAGCGAGAGTTAGTTGTTTTGGTGTTGTTTACGCTATAATTAAAAAAGATGCATCATAATTAATTTGGCAATAGTTACTTAATGTTTAAACTTTGACATGAGGCACCTAATGAGCTCCTCTCTGCAAAAGCCTTAATTACCTGCATTTGTTATGTCAGCAACGGTAAGAGAGTATCTCTATTTAAACCATTAAATGTTAAGAACGTATAGTATATGCTGGTCTTTTGTGTTGGGCTTGTTTTAACAAGAATTCTTTGAGACTTTTTTCGTATTCCATAAGAGCATCCACCATGCCCCCAGGCTCACACGAGAGCCATGTCTCCAACGTAACAATAAGGGACACCTGATGAACAAAATATAAAAGAAAAAACATTTATTTTAATTTGACGTTTGCTAACAATGTGAGCACAAAGGAGGGAAATAGTTTCCAGAGTCTGCAGTATCCCCTTGGAAACAAACCTCACTAGCCTTAATGACTAGTAAGCAGAAGCCCTGCCCCGTCTCAGCTCTACGTCTGAAGTGTTTCAATAATGTCTTATATGGTTTTAAATTGGCAGAGAATACAAAGAAAAGTACATTCGTCCTACTAAAGATCAGGTAAGAAATAGTCCGCTTTGTGCAACAGATTCATATCTGTTTTGATCTTTTTTTTCCTTTAAAAGATCATTTAGAGGGAAGCAATAATGCGCATGCAGATAACAGACTGAGAAGTAGAAGACATAACTTTGTGCGTGTTTTTAATGTTTCTGTTTCATAAGAGTTGTATGGTTCTCATTTACATCATCTATATGGATTATGATTAGTATTCTTCTTTACTCAATTGCATGTACGGTGTTGACTGGCTTTGAATTGAATTTCAATTGTAATGTGTTACATATTGACTGTGGACCTCTGAAAGATTAGGTAACTGCCACAGCCTCAGTTGATGGGGTTCCTTTGAATAAACCATGTCATCTATCTAGGGTCTGACTCAGCAGGTGGATCAATGCCACAGTCACCGTCTATCTTCGTGAAGCGGGCCGCTGGTGTTTGTGGTTACCTGTGGGGAAGACGTCGGGGATGATGTCTGCGTCTCCAGCCACCAGCGAGGGCACGATCCAGGTGAAGCCATACCCTGTGAGGCCCACAGAGTGAGCCACCTCGAAGATGGTGCTGGCCTCCTCCTTGGTGCAGTAGAGCAGGATCACCGGACTCTGCAGTTTCTTCAGCTGGTTCTGGATCTTGGAGTCTCCGTCTTCCAATGACATGTCCAGCAAGAACACTTCTTCCAGCTCCCAGCCCACAAAGCTGTTATCGATGGTGCTTCGGACCTAGATAGGAAAGGGAGATTTAGAAAAAGCGTGGGCTGCTCACATACAGTCAAGTTGTTAAGAGAGATACTGGAACAAAATTGACTGATATTTCTCCTCCTCCAGATCCCACATTGCAAAACTGTTCTGTCTTTACACATCTCCTGGGAGTAGGACAAGAGTGATGTTAGGTAGTGGAAGCTCTCATGAAAATCGTGACTTTTGTATTCTCCCCGAGCACGACACCACAGGGTTAATAGATTATATGCAGCAAGGAGTGATTTGAAGTATTAAGGAAGCTACATTGGGACATGGCATTAAGATGAAAGACTTGTTTTTGTTTCAGAAAGAGAGTAATAGCCGTTCCTTGAGGTAATCAATTGAAAGGGAATCATAGAGGTTGAGTAACAGGCAGACCCAGAGCAGCCTTTCCCATTATAACTATTATTTTCCTCTGTATTGAAAGAAGAAAAAGGAACATTGAATCTCTTAGCTGTGTCTGATTTTTGCTCGAGAGGAGAGACGGTAGAATGGGATTTTGGCACTGGAGCTTTTCTTGTTGCTCAATTCATTGGGGCTTTGAGTTGTTAAATATAGATATACAATAGGAACAGTAAACTCTTAAAAAAAAGGCAATATGAGACTAAACATTATATACATTCAATGTAGTTCATAAACAATAGGCACTAAATATCCTGATTCATAACCTTCCTTTAGATTCATATATGCCATTTTCTCTCTTTAAAACCCTCTACATTTGTTCAGAGAAGAGAAATATGATTAGCTGACTTTCCATAACTTTATTCTGTTCCGGTGTGTGTCTGATGTTCAAAGTTATTCAGGGTCTCATGCCGTCCCCTTTAAAGAGTCTGCTCAGAGCCCTGAAGATAAGGACTCCTCACTGAGGGGCCGCATTCAAAAAGACATGCTCGGCCAATCTGCCTTTCACATTAAAGCAATCGGAAAATGGAAGTCGCTACCCACTTACATCACACTCTGCCAAACCTTATCACTTTTAAAAGCTTGACATTATTTTGGCTAAAAACCAGAAAATCATGTCCTTGGAAAAAGTAGCATTTGTAAGGATCGTTTCACCAGCTGTACAATACATAGTGCCTGGCTATTAATAATATAGTTATTATAATTAGATAAAAATATAACCCTTAAAGGAATTAGAACACAATTATTTTATAATCAGCATGTAACTGTCATATTATATCATTAAAACATGTGAATGTACATGTTAGCAGTACTACAGCATGTTCAATACATTACTTAATTACATTTTCTTTAAATTAAAGCAAATTTAAACAGTCATTCTGCTTATAATAGAGTATAAGTATAATATAACAACCCTACTACTACGCAATGTAAAATACGGCAATATCGCACTCTATTGATCGACTCTATTAACTATTGTTTTTTAGCTCGTTGAAAAGGAGTACTAGTAAAGGTTTTAAATGGCAGTATTTCTCTTTTTCTATTGGTGCCGTTTATGTTCAGTCCAACGTTCAATTTGTTCAATAAAAAAAAGAAAAAGGTAGTTTCTTTTTTCATGAGCAATGAAAAAGAGAAATTTGATGCATTTGAGCAGAATACTGAAAGCAGCAGGTCTCATGAAAGGATAAGAACACAATATGACAAACCGCAATATTTGTTTTATAATGGGTCCCGAAAGACAAAGGTAATAATACATGATGGGTCTGGTACTCAGTGCAAAAGTGAATTTCTCCTTTGAATCAATGGTTGAAAAAGTGTACTGTCACTAGCTTTATAATAAGACTCCTGCTGCTTCTGGAGTCCGCTTTTATGTGAGAGATACATTTATACCAACATGAAGTATTCTTTCAGCTTCATTGTTCTTTTAGTGGTATATTAGGTAGTGCATACACACCTACTGAGATAAATACCCATTAAGTATACAATACAACCAGACTGCCAAATGTCTTTTTTTACATTTAAAGCTTTTATTAAGCAGTTTTCAAATAAAAGGTCTATCTTCTTCATGACATCATTCGCCTAAAAAATAAAAAGAAATGAAGTCCTTGAACAACATGCTTCATTTGAATAAAGGGATGCAATGGATTAAATCAGTCTTTTTATTAAATGAACTATCTTCAACAAATATACCTCTCAGTTTTGTTAGATTGCTGACGGCCTGTTAATAAAGACGCCTGAACGCTTCGGTATAGTCCTGCTGTTTACAGAGCAAGCTGTATGTTACCTGTGTGTCTGTATCTGTGTTTATTACCTTGTTGACAAAGTCCTGGTAGCCAGGGTAGTACGTGGTGACAATGGAGAAGATGTACCAGTCATACTCCTCCATGATGTTCAACATGACGGAGGCCTGCTGCTCGATGGACGGACCGAACTGGAAAAACATGGAGTTGTCGTCCTGGAAACCAAAGAAAAGGAGCCAATCAGCAAACGATGTCATGAGTCACTCAGCACGAGAGAGAAACTGGAAGGTAGGGCAGCGATTATTGTGGAGCGTGTCCAGCTTTCACACGCCTCTCAAACAAATATATTCCTGTTTATAGCTGGGAGCTTAATATGAATGTGCTGCAACTTCACTAAAGAAGGGGCAAAAGTATGACTTTTTATGTACTGTATTTATCCTCCTGTATTTATGATGTTTTTACTTTTCTGTGCAATGTTAAAGAGGATTGGTTTCCCCTAGTTATAAATATTCAAAACACAAACAAGGTGACTCATTCATTATCAAGGATCCCTATCAAAGCGTTGATTGCACATTTAGTACGCTGCGGAGAGCACGACAGGTAAGATGGCGACCTGGTTCAATGATATTTAATGAAAGCATCAAATGTGTGGACAGACGTCTTTGTCCTAACGTGTTTCTCCAAGGAGAGAGGAAGAAGTCAAAAGAGCTCTTGGCGCTCCAGGAGTCTGATGCGATTGGCCAAGGGCAGGTTGGTCAAACCGTGTAAAACTCATCAGGACACAGGAGTCAAGACAGATTATTCACGAGTGTTAGGGACTGGAGGGGCCATGGCAGAGGGGCTGTAATAAGAACAGCATCATGTCTGGGGTCCTCTGTGTGGGAAAAAGGGAGTTGAGCGGTGACTGAGACGACTGGAGGTGGTGGGTCATGCTGCAAAGTGGATTCCTCTCACTCTTTAGTAAAGTATATGTTGACATCAAATAAATAGTTCTCTGGATAACTGGACACACTGTACAATTCACATTTATATTTAATTTAACACACTTAATGTAAATAATATCCTGCTTTATATTGTGTCTAAAGCTCTTCAATAGTGTTTTATTGTCAGAGTTTATAGATGTTGTATCTTCACAGTCTACTACTGTATATGTTCTACTTTTTAATGCTGTTTTAATTCTATTTTGAGATGTTTAATTTCTAGAATTGTTTATTTCTACTCTTTAATTTCTACTTTTGTGCAATGCCTTGTTTTGTTTTTCATGTTGCTGCAACGCAAAAATGTCACAATTTGGGATCAATAAAGCACCTCTTATCTTATCTTAGTTCAGTAATAATCAATATATATTGAATTGTATCAGCACTGTGTAACAAATGCTAGAGTCAAGCTTGCCCTGTTACACACCTTTCCTCAACGGACCCAACACACACTCATTCTGGACTTCTGTGTACTGGCTGAACAAATATATATTGTGTTTATGAAAGTCTGATGCTGTGTCTTCGTTTGAGACTTAAATCCTATTTCTTGGACAGTGTTAGCAGTTTATGTGTTTACGTATTTGATGAATCAATTGTGTTCTATAGTATTGTCCTCTTGGTTTGTGCTCTTGTTTTCGAACATTGGTCTCATACATAAAAGAACATCTGAGAAAGTCTTTGTGATTATTGTTCATTTGTGCCTTAGTGGATGCCAGTTGTTCTAATCAAATGAGAAGATCAACACCACTCTCATGATTGTGTGTTCAATAATCAGAGCTGCAGGACGTAGTTAGCCTGATTACACATGTTGAGATGTCTTTATCAGGCAAGCAGCTAGCTGCGCGATTTCCACTGTGAGGAGTCTACAGCCGAGCTAGCAGTTATTTAAGGAGGTAAATAGGCCAAGCTGTTTTTTGGGCTAAATGCAAATGACAGCCTGCTACCATGTTCACAATGACAATGATAACATGCAGATGTTTAGCAGGTTGACCACATTAAGCATCTTAGTTAAATGTAATAGCATTCTAGGGCGTGCATTTACATTTAGAGAGATTTCAGCTAGCTGTTATTTCCCCCATACAGTATTAGTGCAAAATCAAGCCATAACCTATCTTTATTTATAACACAGAGAGTGGTATCAATATAACTTAAGTCCATTTTACTTCATCATCTACGCTTAGTGTCAAGGACCTTTCATACATTACTGTGTAATTAGAAGACACAAATAAAGCTTTTTAATCAATCTCACGTCACTTGTCTTGATCTTCCGCAGACAACATTCACTTGCATGCACAGCTACACTGTATATTTTTCATCTTTGTGTTCAGTTATGCAAAAACATGAACTATGTGTATCCATCCAGGTGTTCAATTGGTCATACAGGTTAGTCATACAGGAGGCTGAGCACTCTTCAGATAGCTGCGCTAACTCCACATCAAAGCCCATCTCCCCCTTCCTCCACTACCACTTAGTTGGTGGAGGGAATGGCTGTGTGAAAACGAGTGTGTGTGTGTGTGTGTGTGTGTGTGTGTGTGTGTGTGTGTGTGTGTGTGTGTGTGTGTGTGTGTGTGTGTGTGTGTGTGTGTGTGTGTGTGTGTGTGTGAGGTTTTACCTACAGTGACAGTAGCTTCACTCGGATCTCTTCAGGAAGGTAATGAAGGTATTCTCACGCATGAACAGCAGCTAATGCACCGTTCACCTCTGACCAACACTTCCTTCATTGTTTGAGCATTACAGCGTTAACATGCTTATAAATGAATCGTAAGGACGAGTGCTGCATGTAATTTACCTTGACATAATTATTCCATATGCGGATCTAGTCCTTTTTCATGTTTACTATCTGTCTATTCACCATACAAACTCCACTTTCTGTTTTTAAAAGAGGAAGTTGGTTGTATTCTTTATTTGTTCTTATCGTCAACAAGTCCCCTGAGAAGACTGAAACCAGCAATGAGTGGATTTTACTGAGAAGTGGCATGTAGACAAGTGCTTATTAGTCTGTCCCACAGACTTCCAAAGAAGACATCAATGAGCAGCACTGAATACGTTCACACACAATATTCTGGGAATGACAATATTTCCTATTTTATAGGAGTTATATAAAGCATATTCTTTTTGGATATTGTACATTAGGGCCTCATTGAATAAATTATTTTCCAAGTAAGACATGTGGAATCAAACTATATTGTTTTAGAAGCGATCTTTGGACAGGGTATTCAGATTTCAACTTCAAGGTTTTTTACCTAACAAAGCTTAAGATGGAAACATGTAAGGGATAATGTGCAGCAAGGACTTATTGACCGTTGTTAAAGGACGCTCACATCTGCAGAAAGAAGTCCGGTCGATTTAACTGTATACAGTTGGGCTGAAAAGCAAACTGGGACAAGAAAACAGTGGAGAAGTAACGGGGCAGAAACCCTCCTTACGCAACGGTCCAGACATAGACATCAAACGGCAAAACATATTCAGTTGCCAGTTACTTTGGCATTTGGGCAGGGATATCTATATACACTTTCCAAGGTTTGACATAATGAATTGTGCTACTTTTAAAGCAAACAACGATGTTTTCAAATCTGTAATCAAAAAGGTCGGCAAAAACGCTATCGACCAATCAGATTGCTTGATTTGACTTGTCCGTTTTATAAATATATTTACATTTTGTCCGTTACGAAACAAACTTACAAAGCTTAAGATGGAAACATTCAAGGTTAACTTCGACCTCCTTACTATGGAGGAGTGGATTGAGGAGTGCCTATCTCCAGAAAAAAAAAGCACCTAAACAACGACATGCAGAGCTACGTGAAGAGCAGGTAGACCAACTGGAAAAGTACCTCCATTCAAAAGCTTTCTGATGCAGGTCTTGAAACAAAGCAGAGAAATTATGACCGTTAGTGGCCAAAGGTGCGAAAGCTCTCTCCAGAGCTACTGGAAGCCGAATCTCGGGGACCAGAGAAAGTGGAGCAATATTCTCGCCACGCCAAGCAACAGCCTCGAACAACCCCAACCTATACAAGTAACCACGTAAGCCATCCTACTGATGCTGGACAGTTTTTCAGTGGGTGCACAATAAACGGCAACATACAAATCAATGTAAATAAATAGGCAAATAATGGATCAACGCTCTCTGTCTAATATGTTCGCTAGCTGTTAGTGTTGTTGCATAGTAACCACCTCGCACTATAGGCGCTTTCACACTGCAGTACTTTTCCCACAAAGGTTCATCAGAACTTAGTTCATGAGAACTAGTTCTCATGAAGTAAGTACAGATCGCGTTCACACCGGAATAAGTCCCTGGGGGAAGATTAGGCAAATGAAGCCGCTGACGTCAGTTCTTCTGCTGCTTTGGGTTTACTGGCAGGCCGCAAACAGTCCCCGGCCCGAAGTCCCCGGATGGGGACTGGCTTCAGTAGAAGCTGCCAGCTAATGAATTCCCAGCAACTTCTACTGAAGCCTTCCGAGTAAATCGCCAGAACGCCGACACCTCCTCATCTCCACCGCTTCCATGTTTTCTTTTGTGTTGCCATAAGTTAGTCTCTCTACGTTTCTGCGCTGGGCTAATGCTAATAATGCTAATGCTAATAATGCTAATGTGAGGATAATAAAATGGCGGCCTCACAAAACTTTTTGGGAGTTTTACGGGGCATGGTTTGCATTCCACCCAGCCAATCAGACATAGAAACCTTTTTCTCCCACGAAAGTACCTCTTCTCTTGCAGGGAAAAAAAGGGGGTAAAAAAGGTACTGATGAACTAATTTTAGTTCCGGATTTTTTTGGTGTGAACCATAGATTGTATATATATAAAGGTGTGAACGCAACATTTCCGAATGATATCAGAACTAAAGTGGGAAAAGTACTGAGGTGTGAACATGCCTTATGTTTCTTGCAGAAGGCAACGGAGGGACTATTTGATTTTGAACATCATTATTTACTAATAAAAACTATTTAAATTACAGTGTGTATTTTTCTTTTCATATTGCCACACTTGGTAACCATTTTATAACCGAACCACGCCCCTTAGCTGTGATATAATGAGCATATAACACGGCGGTCGTGAGCTATTGCTTAAATATTGTTTGTATTCCTGTCAGTGAGGATGAGGACTTGACAATATGTTTGACCTTTGTGTATATCTGTGCCGGTTATTCAATAAACAAAACAGAAGAAATCCAAGAACAAAGAAAAAAATGTGAGACCTTTATTCATGATCTTACTAAAGTCCTGGCTGCTTCTGTAGAAAGTAGT